TCGGCAGATAATGCGCTTAATTCGAAAGAGATTTAATAACTTATGTTTTGTAAGTTTAATACTGCTTTAGAAATGTCAACTAATAAAAAATGAAAAACATTAAAATAACCGAAATAACATATCTTAACTGGTTGGTCGTTCTTAATCACAAAGCTACACAATGAACTGTCTGTGCTCTACCCACCACGGGTATCAAGACACGATTTTTAGCATCGTAAGCCTTCAGACTTAACGCTGGGCCACTGAGGGGCAATACAAGTTGAATAACATGAGGAGCAGTAGTATACTACTCTATAGACGACGCTAACAAAAAATATTGCCTATCAGAAAAGTAAAATATGAAATGGACTATTTACATGAATTTTAAGCTGCAGATATTTTCGTCGTGTAAAATTTATAAAGTCTTTAAGAAAATGCGTTTTTATATGGGAATAATATATTGTAACTGGAAATAAAACTTAAGTTTCCAAAAATACAGTGACAAATGTTAAACGAGATTTGTTTAATCGCAAAGCTGCACGACGTGCTATTTGACTATGTCACAGCAGGGATGAACCCCCGAATTTTACCGTTATAAGCTCTCAATTCTACCACTAAGCTACGAGAGAGCACACAACAAAGGATGTTTTGATTTAAAAGAAAGCTTTTGTTTATCTGTTCAAGCAATAAATTCTCAAGTATAAAATGTTGAGAAAACTATATTATTCTTCAATCTACTACCATATATATATATATATATAACAGATATATGGTAACGTCAACCAGAATGTAATAGAGAAAAATACTTATCTTTTACAACGGAAGTCATTTGTTATCACAGTTTCTTTATTTAACACATTTTAAAATTTAAGTAAATAAAATTCTAAATCTATGGTTCTAGAAAACGAGTATTATATATCTCACTTTTATCCGAGGTGACACGTTTTTCCATACGAATAGTTTAAATTGGTATCTAAGTGACAGATGATGATGAAAAGAAAGTTTCAGTACCAAAAATAGCGGATTGAGTTTAACAACTGTAAAATGCTGCCAAATAACTTCAGACAGCTTAAATAAAAAATAAAGTAACAATATGGTCTCGAAACTATCATGTTCTCCGTTACAGAAAAATAAACCCAATCTTCATAGCTCTAGGACTTAAAATTAATCTTATTCTGCATCTGTTTGTCTGCTTTGTTTGTACACAGCCTTTTAGACTAACAACCAAACAATAAAAAAACAGATCACCTATATAAAAAATCGAATGAACTTGGCAAACTTTATTTCCTGCTTCTCGGAAAAACAAGATCAATAATGGACTAGGTAAAAATCTAATACAAAAAGATGGCATGTCCAAACAGCCCGTTTTTAAATTCCACTAAATTTTTAATAGATATTTTTAGTATGGTGGCGCGACTATTTCATTTTGATAAAATTATGTGCAACTTAATATCTTCTCATCTTTTTGTTGCGAGTTCGTAAGTTTGGTTGTTCTTATTGATAATCCTCGACTCAATTATACCACGGGCTTTTGATATGTATATTTTACATTTTGTGTTCTCAACATTCATAGGTCATTCAGTAGCAATACCTTTTAATTTAAACGAGAAAATTAGGGCAGTGAGGCCAATTATACTGTGAATGATATGAAAAACACTTCTGAACACAAGTTTTAACGCAGTGTGTAAACTAACCTCACATTCTGAAAGCGTGCGATATAAAAAAAATCTATAATCTAAATATATCCAATATATCATTACAGTTTTTTCATTAATGCTTTTCGAACAGACATACGTATTACGTCTGTGTACAATCATCAACACAAAAAGTATATATTATTCTACTGGGAACCGTCTGTTATTAGTTTGAATATTCGTAAAAAGCGCCGTCACCAACTATTGAGCTAATCAAATAGTGGGCTTTGGCTGTCACTCTTATAACACCCATTGACCGCAAAGTGCGAAATTTTTGTTTCGCTGCAAAGTATCATATATGTTGTGAAACTCAAAGCATCAGAATAAACTATCAGTGATCTACTTTCGATTTTTATCATTTTAAGCCTTCAGACTTACCGCTAAGTCACCAGGTCAGAAGCAGAAAGCATTATAAATTGCAGTTAATAACTTATAAAACTACATTAATAAAAATGCTGATTTTATTTATCTAGCATACCAAAGACATCATAATAAAAAAGATAATTTCAGTATTTACCATTAATTAAAACGGTGTTGACAACAACATATAAAAACACACACAAGAAAAGCAAGATATTTTGTCTTAAACCTCAAATAGAATTAATACAATTTTTAAATTTTCTTAAACTTTAAAAACTTTGAAAAGACGTTAAAATATATCTAATTTGTATATTTTTGAATAATTTCACATTAACTATATCAAACATGTATTTCTTGAAGTATATTTAGATTTCGTAGAAGCAACATCTGCTAACCATTCAAATTGGGCTCGAACAGTTTAAGAGAGTTAGGGTAGTTATTGCTTGTCGTTGATTATTAAGTTTGTGCTCAGCACTTTGCCTCAAAAGAACCTTCTGTAATTCTTTTGTCACAAAAGGATACAGACAATTCCTTTTCTAGTGTGCAGTTAGTCCACAGTTAAAATATGATCCATCTCTCATATTTAAAACTCCATCTGAAAAAACCTTCTGGCTTTGGTTACCTAGGGCTCAAGTATTTATAAAGTGTACGGCTTCTGTTTCTGATCAACAGAATGATATTTCACCAACATGAACGTGTTATCAGTTCTCACTCTCAATCTTCCAGTTAATCTCTGACTTCAGCAGCCTGCCTATTCTCTTGGGAAGGCTCACAACTACTTCAGTGGTATCAGTTTCCTCACAAGAGCTTGTTACTCTGGTGGTAAGTTTATGTTGACTATACTTTCCTCCCACATCCCAATATCTTTGTTATCAAATAAGTCCAAAAAGGATAAAAGGTATCCAGCTTCTCTTGTTTTCTCAATCCAACAGAATGGGTACAACCTAGGCAGCAGATCGAAAGGCCCAAATCTATATCTCATCTTCTTGGCTCAGTAGATGGATCGACAATTCTTGCTAGGTTAATCAGAGTGCAGGAGAGTACTCAATGTTCAAGTGAGGGCTTCTCCTAGCACAATACAAGTTTTAAGACCACAATTCTCATTACAATCATCATATCATCTCTGCTACAACTTGGAAATTATGAATTCATGTTATAAAAGTTTAGAACTTAAAGTTAACAAGAAGAATACAAAAAAGCAGGTCAAACTTAAATCCACCATAAAGATTCCTGGTCAAGAGACTAAAATTCACTATTCTTGGTATTCTCAGGGGAAAATTAAAAAAAAAATTATCAAATTCTAGTGATATGATTTTAGATAGAATTTGTTACGTATGGATAAATATAACCAAGAAAGAAGAAACTACATACTAAAGATTCATTAAACAAACTCACTTTATTGAGAAAATGAAATTGGAATGTGAACTCTATGAACACAGATGATGGACAGTAATGAAAATATTTACTCTCTTTCAGATTTGTTAGATCAAATTACTACTGGATCAACTGAGCATAGACAATTTAAGGTATGAGAACTCAATACTCCATTAACAGCTTGAAAAACAATAGAACTCTTAAAGAATGTACCCAACTGACAGACTCCACAGTAATAGAGCTTGTAACCTGTTGTGCCAACAAAATCTGCTCCCAACTTGAAAATATGTACTAGCAACAAGATGATGACCTAGTTATGGGTTCACCCCATCACCAGTAATCAGTGTACCCTGTAAGTGAAAACTTTCAAAGATAATGCCCTCAAAACTGCCACTTTCCATGCCCAGATTTGGGCAAAATTTATGCAAAATTAAAAGAAAAAATCATAATTCTACTGTAAACAATGCTATTACTCCTTGAAGTCAGCTTTCTTACGGAAACTGGTGTTTCTTTAAAAAACTTAAGTACATGGTGAAAAGGAATAATCAGCCAATACTGGATGAACATTAGATAACTCTAACGTGTAAAATACTCAATACTTTGTATACTATACAATCAGTGTCATTAGGGAGCCAATCCTTATATGTATGAAATAAGAATTGATATACATACAAGTCATCAGAAGCTGGATATGAAAAGCTACCCGGCATAGTCACTCTATCTCCGGTATACATGCTGCTTTTCAGCTATCCAGAGCATTCCAAAGTCAAAAACTGGCAAATAGCCAAAATCGAGATTCCTTATTTTTGTTCATCATCTTTCTTCAACAATCCTTGCACCTACAAAGTTCTAGCAGTAACTATAATTTTATCATCATTTGATAGAGCAAAACAGTCTGCATGGTCTTTGACTACCTATTTTATTATTATTCAATGCAAAATTTATAAAGCTTTAGATTTACACTCTATAAACTAGTAACTCATATAAACCATCTTATAAAAAATAGTAAACAAACAAGTATTAGGAAAAACATTTATTGCTAAATAAAAAAGTTATATAGGACTGGCTATTAAACTTGAAAAACAGAAACCAAACAAGATAAGGATGGAGAAGGAAATATCAGTTGATCCAGCTAATGATCACAGAGCAAAGTAAGCCATGTCGACTTTACATGGAGAATAAAATACCTACATTACTGACTTCCTCACTGGCAAAACAAATAAAACCAGAATTTCCAATTGTAAAATGTTACTCTACTGTAAAATAGTCATAAAAGTAGTATTCTAAAGTTAACCTAAAGAAAGGTATAATGATGAAAGCTGAGATTTTATTCAAACACAAAGTTTTCAATAAACAAAGTGGAGAATTTAGTAATGTAGGGATTTTATTTTCCATATAATGTCAAAATGATTTAGTCTGCTACGTGATCATTAGCTAGATCAAGTGATATGTCCATTTCCATCCCTATCTTATCTGGCTACATATTTCATGTTCAGTAGCCAGCCCTACATAGCTTTTTTATTTAGTGATAATTTTCTTCCTAATACTTGTTATATATTCATGTTGTTATAAATGTGAGAGGAACAGCAAAAGTCAGGATTTTTCATAAAATTTATTTACTCTTTGAAAATTATATGCCAGCATTTCTAATGTCTTTTATATATACTAATCTACGAGATTTATGTTATCAGTGTATCAAAAATATGTGTTAAAAAAATCCATGTATTATGCATTGGTAAGTGTATTAGCATTCAGTCCAAAAACACATCACTATCCAGTTCAGAGTTGTCTGTTAGCTTTGACTGAGCTGTAACATCTGTTGATCCTTCTATATTAGTTGTAACACCTGTTGATCCTTCTATATTAGTTGTAGCATCTGTTGATCTGTCTACCTTCTTTTTATAAAGACCACAAAGAGCTGAACGAAACAAATTGACAGCATGGACAGCGCTCTGTATCTGAGCCCACTGTTTTTGTGTGATGAACTGTGTATCAGCCTACAAAAAAATTAATAACTCATTGTAATTAATCTCTTTACTTGTATAATTAATGTATGGTATATAAATGTGTATAAAACCTCTACTATAAGCTTGCCCTCCTATGATTAAAAAATTGAATTTCGTAATATCTACACTGTCTTGCCTTATGTCCATAAGGTAAATCCATTGGACAGAACTCATATTAGAGAGCTAATGTTTACTATAATTCTGAATTTTCTCAGTGCATCTTCACAAAATTTGGTAAGCATTTAATAAACAATAGAAGTATGATGTACCCAAAAAAAATCAGAATTTTTATTAAAATATTAAAGATTTGTCTGTTGACTCAGACCCTGACTAGTCTGAGTGAAATGTTAGGCATAAAAACACTTTATCTTATAGTTGTCAAATTTAAGTTATGTAACCTCTAGAATCTCCTACATGAATATCAAGTTCTTGTTGTTGTTTTTTCTATAAACTTTTTACTTTATTTACTTACTCATTTTCTCAACCCTAACTAACTGTAGCAAAATCATTTGTAGCAAAAGTTGAAAAATATGAAGTCAAAAGCACATTATTTTCTTAGAATGGCCATGGATTGTAACAGACAGCTACAATTGTTTATCTTAACAACTTCAGACCTCTAACCTTTCCATAAATGCTTTCATGTAATTTTAATGTTTTATTGCTTTCTGAACTCTGTCTAACTATTAAAATAGAGAAAGTAATAAATCACCAGGTGAGGGCTTAGTTTAAGTTACTGTAAACAAAGTATTGAAATAGCTCAAGTGCATTCCTCATAAATAATTTTTTTTTCATTTAAGTTTCTTATATACCCTAATAGGTTTCTATTGGTTGAGTAATGTAGCCTTGTAGAAAAATCAAAAAGTGAAACCTTCCCTTTCTAATGGTTATAAATAATCCAGTAGCAATTGTTTGAAAGCCAGGAGGGGTATAGCATGTGGGTTTCACTAATTTGTTTATATCTCAGTAAAGTAAGAAGCTTGGAGGCTTGAAATTTGTATTTTAGTTTTCGATTATCTATGTATGAATGTGTAATTCATAGAAATATTAAAATATCATATAAAATAAGCAATTTGGAGCAAAGAAGACAGAATATATTTAAATAATTCCTTTTGAAGTTAAAACTTGTATAATATCAAAACTAGAAGTATAAGTTATGTGTGATGTCAAATCGATTCACATACATTGATAATAAAGTTATTTAATTAAATTTTCAATGTAACTGCAAAAGATTGTGATATGCACACTTTGACCCCCACCGTTGCACATAGGGTTAACTAAACCTAGCTAATAATGTTGATTGTATTTATGCTGATGTCCAAATTTATTTATAGCAACCAGCAAGTATGTCCTTAAACTTAATACTCTTGATAATACACCTGAATTGTTGTAATAAAATAGTCAGAATACTTTATTTTTTATCCTAAAGAAATTGTGAGTTCCTGTCTTTTTTTTAAGTGAGAAAAAATTTTGTGATTGAAACTATACGCAAATATAACAGAGCATGTAAGTAAAATCATTTTGTTTATAAACAATCCAAGTATAAGAGAATTTTAGTAACAATTAGTGCATGTGTATGTAAAACCAATAATAATAGAAAATATATACAAATTTATTGAAAGTAATGTGCTTTAATCAAACTGGCTTAGTGTTTTTTATATTTTGAAAACTAAGTTACCATAATAACAAAACTTACTTGTTGACTGAGTGTTGCTTGCCAATCAACCCTACTAATCCACAAAATGTCACCCAAGTGTTTTTCTAATTCATTTAGAAAAGATACAGCAGTGTAGAAGAACTCTACAACTGATCTGGAAAATATATAAAGTAGTATGAAAAAAGCTTAACATAAAACAAATAAAAACAATTTCATTGATTTTCAGTACTAGAACCTGACCAATAATTATAGATATTTTCATCACTAATGAAAATACAAATTATTAATATCATTTAAAAATTCTAGATGTAGAAATCCAGCTTTATAATTAATAAAACTAAAAAAATACAAGAAAAATCTATCATGCTTACTTCAGTGGAATCCAATACCAGCTATAGACAAATACTAACATTTGTGTGGGGCTTGGGTATCTCATAGTTTAGACAGTTGTTTCAAAATTTCTCATGAAAATAACAAAATTGACTAGAAAATATGAGATACTCTAATACAATGCATCCACACATGTCAGATTCCATAAAAATGGACATATTTCATAATACATCTTTTTCATAATCTTTAAGTATTCAGATGCATATCAGTAAAAAAAATGTCTTGGAGATTTTACATATTTTATCTTTGGCATAAAAAAGAGAACCACAAGACTGCATGAACCAAATCATGAAATTCTTTTCTCTTCATCAAAACTTTGAAAACATGTGTAAAAAAAAAAATCTATTATCAATAATGGTCAAGATTAGACAGAATAAACTTTGCATTCAAAGAAAAGCTATGAAAAGGTTTTACTGAATACAGAAGTTGTGAAATTCTACTCTTCAAATTACATTCAGGTTTAGCTGTCAAAAATGATTGAAAATTCAGTTCGTCTTAAAGCTTAAAAATATAAAAAATGTCAACCAGATGGGAAATGTATAGCAACTAGTATGAAACCTTCAGGAAATGACTAAAGTAATGGAAGATATGGTAAATATAGGTAGAATTTCAGCAATCAATTCACATTTTATTAAATTAAACTCTACTTATCACATTACAGAACTCTCATCCATGTAATGATCCGATATCTATGTTTGAGGTATTTTTAATGATCACAGTTTGTTCAGTATCATCTCACCCAGAAACACTACACTTTCATTGTAAACAATATTCATTCTAAAAATATTTAATAATGTCACATTTTGTTTGCTCTAATTTCGTCTAGAACAATTTTAAAAATATTGTGAACAATTGCTAACAACAAATGTACAAAATTCTAATCAATTAAATTAATTCCGATTTACTTCATGCCACTAATTTCAAAGTACATGCAAGTTATCTATTTAAGTGATAAATAATGAGGGCCAGGTAAAACTATATGCTAAAAAAATAAAGAGGCAGATAAAGGTTTAGCATAAGAAATGAGTACAGAAGTAGTTATAAGGATAGGCTTAATTGTTAC